CCGCCTCCTCCTCCTCCTCCAACAGCACCACTACATTTGCTGCCGGACGCTGCGGCTGAGGTGAAGCCGCCAAAGCTCCCACTGGCGCCCCTACCCATGGCAGCGGCGGCAGTGCCTCCCCCTCCGCTCGGAACACCTCAGCTGGGCAGGGGTGCTGGCGGGAGCTTTGGCAGCTTCACCTCAGCCGCAGCGTCGGGCGGCAAATCTGGCAGTGCTGTTGGAGGAGGAGGAGGAGGCAGCAGATATTCTGGTGGCGGCAGGGGCTTTGGGGGTTTATTTCAGCCGCAGCGCCAGGCACAAGCGGCTAGGATTGGCCGTCCACAAAGGACCTCCCAGGGCTTGCTTTGCTGAACACGGGGGCGACTGACACTAGTTTGAGTGGCCGTGGCTGGCACAAACTACCGTCAGTCACTCCGTGCTCATCAAAACAAGTCTGGGGAGGTCCTTTGTGGGCGGCCAGTTCTAGCCGCCTGCAAAGGACTTCCCCACGTTTGCTTTGCTGAACACGGGGCGACTGACGGTAATGAGTGGCGCAGCCGGTGCCTAGGAGGTCCTAGGAGACCAGCTGTGCTGCGTAAGCTCCTGCCGCCATCCCCGCGCCCGTGCTAACCCTAGAGTTTGTGAGGCCCCTGCGCCGCAGTTAGAAACTGCTGCGCGGGGTTTTCTTGCTACGTGTGCGGCTGCGCAGCCATGCACCTTAGAAGGAACAGTGGATTGCAGGGCCCTGCATGAGAAACTTAGCAAATGAAATCTCTTCTCTGATCTCATTCATGGTGCAAAGTATGCAAAAGAAAACTGTGATTAATTTGAAATGTTTGAAAAGCTTTGCCAACCACTAAGCATGGGAGTGACTTTGTTTTGCTTAGTGGTTATGTGATAGCTTCTATCACAGGAAATACTGTGTAGGTAGAAGGAAGAGTGGGTTTGACTAAATATTAAGAACTCATAGGAGCTGGTATCCCACAGTCATTCACTTCTTCACAAAGCTGAGGCTGAAAAAAGTTGGATATTTCAGAAAATAAGTCTAAAACGTAGCTCCATGATGTACTTACAGGAAAGTTTAAGCCTCCAGTTTTGAATATTATTTAAAATGTACAAAGAAATCTTAAGCATGCAATGCATGCTAGGAGACCTAAGAAAGTTTCTGAGCTAGAAGACTAAATCTAAAAGCAACAACAGAAAGTATTTTAGTTAGCTACTGTAAACATTTGGAAGCTTATTTCTGCAAACTGAGAGGTTACAAACTACTGACTGAAAAGACATCCAAACTTCTGAATAGTATTCATTATTTTCATATTTTGAACCTATAAACAACTGCACATAAATACAAAGTATACAGTCAAATTTGCAGAAGGATACCATGTTTAATTTTAGATCATTGTAGAAGATGTGTCAGGTTCTGTTCTCTTGTAGATACAGTGAAACGTGCCATTTGAATAGAGGTACCTTAACTTTTTCAAGCAACTCTGTATAGTATACGGATGGATGAATAAATTCAGAGATATAGAGTTTACACAATATTTATTTCTTGATAGTGGTAATGACTAACAGCTTAGATGTTATTTTTAAGGTGGTAAAAAAGTTGGAATAAATCCAAAGATCAACAATTTGATGCCAGCATATGAAGTTGCCAAATACGATCTCATATGGATCTGTGATAGTGGCATTAGAGGTAAGTGATTTCTTTCAGCACCACAGAATGTTCTTTTGGAAAGGTCCTGATTGCAAGCTATTGAAATAAGTAACATAATATTAAATGGTATTAATATTAATAAAATTACATTCTGCCAAGAGGACATTACAAATTTTGTGGAAATGGAGTTATAGTCATTCTCATAGGCACAAGATGTAAGAGTCAAAGGTAACATGAAACATATGGATACTGTCATATTGTTGTTTGAAATTTTTGGAGCCTTTTAAGTCACTCCCTACAGGCAGCCATTGAGGGAAGAATGCCTGTTCTCAAAATCACGGATGGAAATTGCTGTTCTAAATATCCATTGTATTAATTAGGAAAAACTGAGGAGACAAACTGTTGAGGTTGCTTCTTGCTATCCTGTGTAGTCTCCCAGTTGAGCTCTACAATATGTCTGTATGTCTATCTATCCTAGAAGGGTTGGCATGTTTCTAGGGAAGTCATTACACAATAACTACTTGTGTAGCTTCATCTTTATTTCAAAGAAAATAATTCTTTAAAAAAATGAAGCTAGAACTAGTTTGATGTGGGCAAAGTGTTCTAATCCTATCCTAGGCATGAAAGGCAGCTGAGTATACTTGGGACAATCACACTCTATGTCAGCCCAATCCATCTCACAAGGTGATTGTTTTGAGGAAAATAGGAGGCAGGAGCATTATGTACACATGTTTTAGCAATCCAAAAATAAAGGCAGAATATAAATATAATAATGTATGCCAACTTTCCATTTATGTATCTAGATGGAACAGGATCTCTTTCAGATTCCAAGTACGATGTCTTGGAGGCAAATCATTGGGGAACTCCCACAAGTGTTTTTTCTCCCCATTCAATGCTTGTATTTGCTATTTGCAGGATAGCAACTACCTCAGGTGGATGATATTTATTCTCCAGACTCTGATTACTCCTGTAATTACTGAGTTATCAAGTCACATTAGGACTCTGCAACAAAAAATTAATCCCCCTCACTTTTATAATGTTCAGCAAAGTAGCCAGAACTAGGAAATTACATTGGGTTTTTTTCTTGTTGGTTAAATAATAAGATTTTATACTGTGAAGTAGTAACCTAACTACTTGAGAGCAACTTTTTAAAACATTAAGCCATTGATGTTAACCACTGTTCTTATTTTCAGTTAACCCAGATACACTAACAGATATGGCCAATCAAATGACTGAAAAAGTGGGTTTGGTTCATGGCCTGCCTTATGTAGCAGATAGACAGGGCTTTGCTGCCACTCTAGAACAGGTAAGTTTTCATTTATGTTTGCTCAGTTTCATAGGCTTAAATTTTTGAAAATTATAATAGTTTAAAGCTGAAAAAATCAGTAAATGTAAACATTTTACTACAAAAAATATTCGCTACTGTAGTAAAATTGGTTCCATGTCTTCATATATTAACTCCAAAATATAATTCTAGATAGTCTGATATTTGTGAATAATGGTATTTAACTATCAATACTTTGCTGACAGTTTGTTATGCAAAAAGTGTATTAATTTTCCATGTAGCATTTTACATGTAGAGATTTCTAATAGCTTTGAGTGAAAAGACTTGTTTGCATTCCCTCCTTCTTCTGATGATTCATTCATTGTAGCCTATATTTTTGTAGGAGACCATTGCTTGCAGCATTTAATAACTTCTTTGGAGTTCTTGAATTTTAATACATTGCTAGTACCACAGACGTAGCAATTTTTAAAATTTGGATGAACCAACATCTTTATAAAGAATTGCATGAACTCATAGTTTCCTAAGTGGAACATATAGCAGCCTTAATTCATATACAATGGCATATTGACAATAAAGGAATCAATTGTTTGTAGTTGGTTCCTGAGCAGATATTGCTTTCTTGATTTGAAATTTCAGTTATTTTTGCTTTGTTAACTTTACGCCTTAATGCTGAATTGAATAGTGCTTACTGCCACAACCTTTTTGTTTGCTAATTCAAGTAGAAACATCATATATAGTACAAATAAATAGTTTATTGTTATTGGATTAGAAAAAAATATTATTACAGCAAAATATTTGTAATACTGTTTACTTTATTGCACCCATTTTCTTTCTCCTGTTATTTCCCTTTTACTGCTGTACCCATAATTTCTATTGTACTTACGTTGACTTTGTAGTCATTTAACTAATACCAAGGGGGGATGGGACTTCTAGATGAACAGAAAAACTGAAAAGTGGCAATGTAGATAAATTCATACAACTGTTTTATGTTATGGGCTCATTTTGTTTGAAGTAGGTAGATGAATAATCATCTATTTATATACAATATGTTCACTAACAGAAGTAGTGACAAAGTACTCTTCAGAACTTCAGTTTTAAGATAATCTACTTTCAGATCAATATAGAAACAATGGCAATCTTTATTTGGATATTGCAATTTGCATTAAATAAGAATGACTGCATAATGAGAAAGTTCTTTTGTATACAAGATGAGCAAGATGTTACAAATGGCTGGTAAAATCCAAGGAAGCTCAAATATTTACTACATATTTTTACAAGACTGTGCTATCTCTGTATATTTGTGCAAGTAGATATTTAAAAATCTATGACAAATGTTAAATGTAATAATAAGGCACACTATAGAACCATGACCAAGACATTTTTTTTTAAAGGTATATTTTGGTACTTCCCATCCAAGGACATACATTTCTGCCCATATAACTGGCTTTAAATGTGTAACAGGGATGTCTTGCTTGATGAGAAAAGATGTTTTGGACCAAGCTGGAGGACTTATAGCTTTTGCACAGTATATTGCTGAAGATTACTTTATGGCTAAAGCAATAGCTGACAGGTATGATGTTAATGTTCTCAGGAAAAGTTTACCTTTAGTGTTTATCATAATCTGCCATGTGTTTAGTTGTTTGTACAAAGCGTGTAGAACATATTATTAAGGGTTTAAAGAAAGTAAAAATTGTCACTTAGTCATGTCATTATGCCATTAAAACAGTAAACTAGTCTATGAACTAAGGATTTCAAGCTTAACTTGTTATGAGTGCTACCTGAGCACTCATTTGGTAGTCTGAAGGCTGCAACACTAAAGCTTTTTCATATACTAATATCAAAGTTTTTAGTAAATAAATTTCAAAAATACAACTGCATTCAAGTAAAAATAAATTTATTAAATTAAATTACTGCAAAACAAATATTTTTCTTATATTTAATGCTAGTCTCTTGGCAATATGTGTATGAGTAAATTACAGGGTGGCTCTCGGAAAGCAATTTTGAGACCTCTGGTATAAACTATTTCTAAAAATTGCAATAAAGGATGTTGGAGAATTATTTAGATATTCTCCTCTCAACTCAGAAATCATTTCTGAATTATTCTATAACCTTAAAAGTACGTATTGTTTCCTTCCCAGAGGGGAAATTATACCAATTAAACTGATTCTTCTCCAATCATGTTTAGAATTTTTTTCATCAAAATGAAGTTGCAGATTGAGAAAAAAGGAAGTTCCTTTTTTTCTGACACTGAGGCCAATCTATCATAATTTATTTTCTGTACAGTTACATTATTTTTTCCTGGGTGCTGCTCTGGAGAGTCGAAGCATGAGTTAAATGCAGCCAATCTGCCCAGGACTGAATTGAAACTTTAAGCCATGCCTCTGGTGCTGTATAATCCTCAGATTTTTTCAATTCAGCTAGCCCAATTCAGCTAACTCTATTTTTTCTATTTTACTACAAAATTTATCTTCTTCTTCCTGATATATTGGAGCAGGCTTGCTGAGTTTTCCTTTTAACCTAATTCCCTGGTTCTCACCAATTTCAGCCTCTCCAGTGTCCTGGGTTTGCTCGGGTGCCGTGGGGCTGCAGGCTGCTGTTGGGGAAGGCTTGTGGGTCAGAGTGGCGATGCCAGCACGATCGCAGTGATACCACTGTGATCATAACCCCACTGGGACATCTGTTGCTGCTGACCGTGCTTCTGAATGAGCTGGCTGTTGTCATGGAGTCTCAGAACTCTCTGGTGTATGCAGGTGGCCATTTTAAGTGGATCGCATGTGGTGGCGGCCATTTTGAGAGGGTCACACATGGTGGTGATTGCCATTTTGAGAGGATCAAAGCTCCAGCCACCATTTTGTTGACCTACTTTTGCTGCGAAAAGCAGCTACAGCCACCTGATTGCCTGTCTCTTGCATGTCACCGCTAGAAGCCTTCCTGTCTGGAATTATGGCAGGTTTGCCAACTCACAGCTCCACTATTACAGTAGAGAGCAGCAGCGGAAGTTTGTGGCCCATGTGGTCGCGCCCCACATTAATTGACCAGCTTGGGTGCTGGGAGCTTGGAGTTCGCAGCATTTTCCTTCACCAATCAAAGGACTGCTGAGCTTTGCTTGCCACTGCCTTCAGTGCCTCTACACCAGAGTGCTAAGGTCAGTTTCATCTGAGGTGGTGAGTGGGGGAAAGTTACCTTCCAGGCCTTACATCCCCACATTCAATCATGGCAGCCAGTTCCCTGAGGAGCAACAGATTGGTCCCTCCATCAGCAGGGACTGTACCAGACAGGCTGGCAAGGTAGCCAGGGAGGCCATCAGAGCAAGCAAGCCTTACTCTAGGCAGGGGACTAAGCAGAGTTTGGGCCTAGACAGAGATGCCATCAGACGCCAAAAGGCTTTAGAAAAATAGTTTTATAGGGCTCAATTACAGACCCAGCCTTCCGGGCCTGTTTCCCATGGGGATCACTCACCTGGGATTAGGATCCTCCAATGTTGGAGAGTGAAGATGAATGCCAGGAATTCTCCTCTGCAGATTCCATTGCAATGGCAGGCTCCCCTGGGTCTTCTATGGCCGATCGAGCAGACCTATTTGCATGTCCTTCTGATCCTGAAGAGGAGCTGGTCACAGTGGGGCCCCTTGCACCCCAACAACCGGCCATTCAGCCCCCACCCGGAGCACGCCACCCAGAAGATAGGGGACCCAATCTTTCCCTAGAAATGCAGGATGTCATTGCCAGAGCCGTTTCCCAAGAGATAGAGGCTGGCATGTTGCAACGGGCCAAGCACCTGTGCAGGTCCCGGGGTCGGGGTGGGTGGGATTTGCTCAGGCCCAGCTCCCTCAGTCATTGCACTCATCCTTGGCCAGTGAGGACTCTGACTGGGAGGAGGACCTCAGGTCCAGGGCTAGAATCAGAATCTCCGGGGATGAGGCTGCTGTTCCCGACAAGCCGGCCTTTTCTGGCTTGTTCAAGTATGCTCATTTCAAGACTATTTTCAACAAGGCTAAAGCCTCGACCACCTTGGGTACTAGCACCCTGGCTTCGGCTGCTCCTGCACTGGAGGACCTCAGTGAGGGACTCTTTGAGGAGCCAGAACCTATTCTGGAAATTATGCCAGGTCCAAAATTGTTTCTCAATGTAGTGCAAAAGCAGTGGGTGCAGCCAGGCACCCTTGCTACCCTTGGCAATGACAAGAAATTGTACATGGTTGATCCAAGTCTGGAAGACTTACTGAAATTGCCTCCCGTGGACGCACCTGTGGTGGCGCTCACTTCCAATTCAGTGCTCCCTCCTGAACTATTAGAAGGGCTCAAGGCGGATGATAAAAGAGCTGAGAACGCCTGCCAAAAGACTCATCAGGTGGCGGCTTGGGCCATTAAAACTTCCGCTTCTGTGTCTTTTTTGTCCAGGGTGGCGCTACTCTGGCTAAGACAGCTCCTGGCCAAGCTCCCGGCTGGGGATACCAAATTAAGGCAGGATGTTAACAAAATTATCGCAGCGACAGAGTACACTGCTACGCCACCCTGAACGCTACTACGTTGCCTCTAGATCCCTGGCCTCTAATGTCACCACCAGACGCCTCTTATGGCTCAGGCATTGGAACGCNATATATATATATATATGTATGTATGTATGTATGTATGTATGTATGTATGTATGTATGTATGTATGTATGTATGTATGTATGTATGTATAATAAAAATATGTTTTTGATTAAGAAATGGCATACAGCTACCATGTTTTAGGTAGGTAATGTAGATCACTTTAGATGAAAAGAAACAATGAATAAGCCTCTTTGTGTGATAATGTTAAATTAAGGTTTTTGCATATTCATCACCAACCTCTTTAAAAGTATCTTGCATTTATCATGGCTGATTTTCTCTCAAATTGATGTCAAAGGGAAATTTATGGTCTCCTAAGCAAAGTTTGTTAAGAACCAATTATTCTTTCAAGGAAACCTGGAAGTTTTATTATCTTTACCAGCATGTTATCCTTTTCATTCACCAATCTGCACTGAGAAAGAATTGAAATGTACATTTGGCTTTATTTTTAGGGCTTATCTTGGCATGTGATTAATATCCTACGCTGAATAAACAGCTCTAAATAAAATTAATCTCAAATCTCTTAATTTGTTGATTGCTATTACTTTCTTACCACTGACATCATTTATAATGTGAATGCAAAAGTATAAACTCAGGAACAGTGAGGATATCTGCATGACATTGTATAATTATATCACATTCAGTTATGACACATTTTGAAACATATAAGTAATGATTCTCCTTATTGATTAGATTCATTATGCAAGGAAATATTCTTGCAACTTTCCTTTGTATTCTCCGTCACAACTTTCCCAGATATACGTATATAGCCCTTGATAAGTGATTTTCAGGGTCCCCTAATCTATAACAAATTAGCAGGAATAGAGATGGAGATGGGGAAAAATGTTCCACTGATGAATGCAATTTCATAGTGGATACTGGAATCTCTGCAGATTGTTATATAAAAATATATAATGTTATATAGCCCTTGGTTACATTACCACTAAGGCCAATTTAGACAAAAATAGTTTGCCACTTTCCAAAAAGGCTGTTCAACTAACTCATACTATAAGGAAATCCTGCTCAATTGTTAGGGACATTGGCAGTTAAGTACATCTTCACTTTGGTGTGACTTTTCTGTACTCAAGTATAAATAAAGCAAACAGAGATTAAATGGAAAATGTTTTCAAGTTAAATATATGAATTGAGATTAAAGTTTACATTTTTTTGGTTTCAGGTTTCATTTTTTATTGAAATGGGGAGAATAGTTGTGACAGTGATGGGTAACCTTTTTGGTGCTGAGTGCCCAAAGTGTGCATGGGTGTGAAACCCCAAAATGCAATCCAAGCGCCCCCTGTGCCCCATTTTGCCTTCCAGGTTGGTGCCGGAAGCTTTCCAGGGCCAAAATGGGATGGGGGGGGTGTTTTGGCTTTCAGGTTGGTGCAGGAGTCCTCGCAGGTCAAAAACAGGGTGTAGGGGGGCCTCATGTGGCACATTTTGGCTTTCAGGTTGGTGCAGGCCTTCCAGATCCAAAATGGGGAGTGGAAGGGGGAACACACACAGGCGTGAATGCAATGCAAGTGTCTCCCACACATGCACCCCACCTCCCCCATGCATGAGCGGCAGAGACCCAAAACCCTGCTGGCTGGTGGGAGGTGCGCGCACATGCACGGTGGAACTAAACTGGGGTGACGGTTGGCATGTCCGCAGAGAGGACTCTGCGTGCTACCTGTGGCATGCGTGCCATAGGTTTGCCATCAGGGAGTTATGGTATACATTTTAAATATTACCAAAGAATGATAAAACAAGCAAAATATTGAACTGGCTCCGTTCCTTCTTGTTTGGCAGTAATCAAACTAGCAGTGACAATGTATGACTGATGGAAAATAAGTGAGATAGTTTGAACAATATATCTGGTAATTCAGCAATCAACATTTAGAAGACTCACTGCCATGCAAAGCAGATAGCCAGCTAAAAAGTAGGAAAACAGGGAAAAAGTAAGAAACGTTAAAAGCTCACATTTCCATTTTAACACTGTCAGAAAACAATGTTCAAACATAAGAGGTGAAATTGATGGAGGATGTCACTTTGAAGGAATATTAAAACTTAGAAGATCAGAATGATGATTTCGGTATTAGGAGGAATGGAAGCAGGAGATTAGCTATTTTGTTTTATTTATTTTATTTTTTATTTTATTTTATTTATATCACAGTACTTTTATATCTTCCAGTTTAATCAGATTCCAAAGGTTTACAGCAGGGGGGGGGGAGTAAGTATTAAAACAACAGTTACAACATAATGCAATATTTTGTTTGCTTATGTATAACCTACCTTTATTACTTTCATAAATAACTAAAGACAGTGATTATTACAGGTATATTAACATATCTCAAACCCTCAGTTGAAGGAGCATGAATACATATATTTCATGTGATCACATGCTATTAAAGTGAACTTTACAGAATTAATAGAATATAGAACATACTACATTTATAACATTTCAATTTTTGATAGAATATTTGTAGCCCAGGGTTGAACTGTGCGGTCCCTGGTGCTCTCTGTTGAAGATGTTCCCTAATTAGATAATGAAACATCTGCAAGAAAACATCCAAGCTCAAAGAGCACCAAGGTCCCGCCACATTTTAATTTTTTCTAAAAATCAGGTTCATTCTCTTCCTAGTTTTACTTATTATTTATATGAATTGCTATTTAAGTTGAAACCTGGCAATGCACTGTAGAAGAAATATACAATTTAAAAATAGAAGAAAATCACAGTAGCAAAAGTCAAATTAATTATTAAAATAACATAAAATATATTGCTAGTCAATAATGTCCTAATGCAGTAATAAGCAAAACACTCTTGGGTCCATGATAAGAGTCAATGGATGATAGGGTTTGATCAAAAGTCCCAATGATGCTAGGTTCACAGTTGCCTTTTTCCCATTGGGAAAGGGGAGAGGTAAGTATGAGGTTTTTGTATCCTTTGGACTCTCCTATCTCGCAATGTCTTTTCCTTCAGGACTGGTTCTTTTCTTCTTTTTTCCCTTCTGTTTCTTTCTCTTTTTTTGATAAATCAAAATCTGCCAGCAAATTCAATTCCCCCTCTCTATCTGCATCCCTTATTGCTATCCGAGTGTTGCATTATTTGCTTTGCAAACAACATCAACTTTCCCTACACTGAAGGCAACTCTACTGTAGATTTATATAACCCTGTAGTTGACTATTTACTCATATTAGGAAAATGTCTGCTGTTACTTTGCAGCGCTTAACCTGTTCCACTGATAAATGTCAAATACACAGTGGGATGGTGTTGTACCACATCTGAGTTGAGGTTAGCCTTAAATCTTGTGGCTTCCTGCATTTTGCTGCCATTGTTTTGTTCTTCCTTGTGCCTGACCCATCCTTTCTGTTATTTACTGAAAAATTAAATGATCATTTTCTGACCATACAGTATTGAGGCATATGGCTAGGGAAATCAGTTCATTTTTTTTCCTCCCTTTTTCAGAAGATAGAACAATTTTACAGAATATTAATAATCAAATTTTATTTTTTAAAAAACAGGGAAAAAACAATGTAAAGGTTCCATTTAATGTTAAACCTTTTTTTTAATCACACAAAATCTTTCCCCGGTAGAAGCAAA